CCCATGTAACAGTAAAAAACTTTTACTTGATATAGCTACAACTTTTAGATTAAACATGTTTTTATGAATAAAAATAAATAAACTGAAGGTCGAGGAAAAATTTTGCTAGTTCTCATGGAAAACCCGGAAAGTGCAGAGATTTTAATGAATTAATGGATACCCCTAGAAAACATACAAAAATATTTGTGTTTTTTGTTTTCCATTGAGGATGGAAAACAAACATTTTAAACACAAAAATTAGCAAATTAGTGTGGATATGTTTGTTCACAAAAAATGGGCAAATTGCAGTTAAAACTTTTTTATTTTATATCTCCATAAATAAACCGATTTTTAAATGACTCCAGTCGGCAGAGGCCGAAAAGTTACTGTTGGTGACATTTTCTTGATAACTCGGAAATAACTACACAGGAATACTTTAAATGATGAGTACAATAACAGGCTAATTTGCTGNCGCACAATAAAATTTTCGAATTATAATTTTTTTTGTTCATATTTAATTTTTTTAATAATTTCTAATATGTATTTCATGGTTTAAAAGAAAAAAGAAACACTAGTAGAAAATGAAGCAGATTTAAGACAACGAATCAGAAATGGATGCCAGCAAGTCATACAAATGCCAGCAATTTTTGAAAATGTACGACAGTCGTTGAGGAAAAAGTTCGTCGCTTGTGTGGCTGTCTGACTTGCTGACATCAATTTATCATTCGTTGTCTTAAATCTGCTTCATTTTCTACTGTTGTTTAATTTTTTTTAAAACCATAAAGTACCCATTAGATTTATTGTGTGAAGAAAATGCAAGAGACCTTTTTTATTTAAAACTCAACAGGAAATTATACGCAGCTATTAATTTTTCTGAAAATCCAGTGGCGTAGATTTTCTGAGGGTTTTAATGACGAAGCACCCTTGAATCTCCGCCACTGGTTGACATATTTATATAGAAATATACCGAATTATTACTTTTAATTAGTTACATCATTTCCCCAAGTTTTGTCAGTCTGCTTCAAACATCTTCAGAGATAATTAAAAAAATGTGATATTTTTCAAAAACTTTAACGATCTCTATCCTGGAAACCAGTAACTTCAGTGCCCTGGTTTTTTAAAGCTTTTGGGCTTAAAATGACCCAAGGAATCACCCCCTTCATTTATTACATAGACTTAGGATACACCCTGTGACCGAATAAATAATTCAAAAAAATTGCACATAGGTCGCTTTGTCGTCTTTCTTAATATAATTGAAACTTGACGCATTAAATTTTTGCGATAAGGTCGATTTTGACATCAAAATGTGTCCTACTTTTAGGATTGAAAGTCGTGGAAAATTCTGAAAGTATTGAAATTAAAAGTCAGGGGCACATCTGTGTATAAAAATCTATAAATTAATTAAGTACATATTAAGTAAATAGTCCAATTTATATGCATAATCTTTCACTGATGTTAAATACTTGGCGTCCTCGCTAGCACCTAAAACCTCAAAATTTTGTTAGTAAACACTATTGACATTTATTGTACTTACAGTCAAATCCAGTGACGGCTATTGACTTCCATACTAGAGAGGGCGGAAAAATTTAGGTACAAAATATTTAAAAAAAGTCAAATATAATAGGGTATTTTTATTTCAAGTACTATTGAAATATAGGGAAACTGTACTCAGCATTATTTTTTATATTACGAGTCAATTCGTCTGCTTTTGTCCGAAATAAACTTTTTAATTATTTTTTCATTAAAGTTTGGTATTTCTCACACCATTTATTTTTCAATTTTTTTACAATTTTAAAAAAGAGCAATTTTACGCCACACCTAAACAAATTACGTTTAATAAGAAAAAAAGCGGTGAATAACTATTGTCTGCTTACGATCGGGCTAAACAGAGCCCAAGCTACATGGTAAAAATGCGCTACTCCCACTCCGTCTTTCACTGGTGCGTGATGGTAGCCATGACCACCGCTGTAAACACTTTATAGATAATAGAAGCGAGCTATGACGAGCCCACGTATTCAGAGTTTTGCAAACGAATTTTGCAATTGACTATACATTACAAATTTAACATTTCCTTTTTAATGTGNTTGACATTTATTGTACTTACAGTCAAATCCAGTGACGGCTATTGACTTCCATACTAGAGAGGGCGGAAAAATTTAGGTACAAAATATTTAAAAAAGGTCGAATATAATTGGGTAGTTTTATTTCAATTATTATTATTCAATTTATTTTTTATATTAAGAATCAATTCGTCTGCTTTTGTTCGAAATAAACTTTTTAATTATTTTTTCATTAAAGTTTGGTATTTCTCGCACCATTTATTTTAAATTTTTCTACAATATCTACGTTTAATATGAAAAAAAGCGGTGAATTGGTGAATAGCTATTGTTTGCTTACGATCGGGCTAAACAGAGCCCAAGCTACATGGTAAAAATGCGCTACTCCCACTCCGTCTCACTGGTGCGTGATGGTAGCCATGACCACCGCTGTAAACACTTTATAGATAATAGAAGCGAGCTATGACGAGCCCACGTATTCAGAGTTTTGCAAACGAATTTTGCAATTGACTATACATTACAAATTTAACATTTCCTTTTTAATGTGTTTCATAAAGCTAATCTATTTAATTATGTAAACATTGTAAACTAAATTTTAATTATTTTTTTACTACTAAAATTTTGTGGGGGGGGAGGGGGCGTCCCCACACCAGCCGCCACTGGTCACTTATGTCGATGTATATACCATACCATGATTGTTAGTAGGCACAGGGTATCCCAGCTACATATTAACCCATCAAAAACTAATAACGTACGCGAATTTTTATGCAATTATTAAAAGATTCATAACTCGATTGACAATTAATTGTGGTTTACAAGGTATAAATAACATAATCTTATTTATGTAAAATTATACAACCCAAACGAGTGCAGTTACGCACTGAGGGTGATTTCACCAAACACCGCAATTAGACGTGCTCGAACTACAAGTTTTGTCTGAACAAAATCCAGATAATTTATTTTTCGTAAATTCTCTTTTGTCTTGCATCTACAGATAGTGATGGAATCTTCACGGTTTGTGGAAACCGGTGACATAATATAGTAATTTTTTTGTCCCATGTAACAGTAAAAAACTTTTACTTGATATAGCTACAACTTTTAGATTAAACATGTTTTTATGAATAAAAATAAATAAACTGAAGGTCGAGGAAAAATTTTGCTAGTTCTCATGGAAAACCCGGAAAGTGCAGAGATTTTAATGAATTAATGGATACCCCTAGAAAACATACAAAAATATTTGTGTTTTTTGTTTTCCATTGAGGATGGAAAACAAACATTTTAAACACAAAAATTAGCAAATTAGTGTGGATATGTTTGTTCACAAAAAATGGGCAAATTGCAGTTAAAACTTTTTTATTTTATATCTCCATAAATAAACCGATTTTTAAATGACTCCAGTCGGCAGAGGCCGAAAAGTTACTGTTGGTGACATTTTCTTGATAACTCGGAAATAACTACACAGGAATACTTTAAATGATGAGTACAATAACAGGCTAATTTGCTGACAAAGTATCTTATCAGGAAAAAAAATTATTAACAATTTAAGCGTGAAAAAAATTTTTTTTAGTAGTTTTCTTTAAATAACTCAGCNTCAACAAAATTATTTACACTCCTTTCTACACCACCTGTGAGGTAGTGTGCGATATAAACAAAAAATCAATTTTTTTTAAAACCTCAACACCCTGTATCTCTAAAACGGGGCCGTTCCAGACCTATGTTTATAAGGCAAACACATATTATTTTAAAGAGATCTATCTACCCTCGAAGTTTCCTGCATAAAATTCGGACCACCCTGTATATATTCCTTGAAATATTGAAACCGAATTAATATTTTCTAATGTGGACATAGTGTACTATATACTGGTATGAGTTTTTGTATTAATTATATTTAGACATATCATTTTTGGTTTTTATTTTGAATAATTATTTATTACTAGCTGTTTCTGATTATTGGGAGTATAATTCAATGTCAGTTCGGGTACCTATAGAGTACTATAGTGCCTATAGAGTAACTCTGTTGCTTGCGCAAAAAACTCAAATCCACTGCAACTGATTTGCGAGAAATTATAAAATAATAATTTATATTAAACACAAGAAATTATAATAGGAACGATACATTTTCCATAGTAAGCATATGAGAATGAAATCAACATATCACCAAAATATTATCATCATTATAACCGTAATTTGGGTTTTATCTTGATTTAGACATGTGAACTTTTAGTAAGAAAGTATGTTTTTTTGCGCGTTAGCTATAGAATTGTTTCCCGCGATATCATCAGTCATGAATCTTATATGTGGAGTTAGACATCTTTACTTAGGTTTTATTTAGAAACATTTTGAATTTGTTTGAATCAGCTTAGAACCTTGAAAATAAAGTAAAGAATATAAGAGGAGAATATACTATCACTTTTTCGTTTTTTTTTATTTAAGTGGGTATTTCTGCTAAATAACCTTTTGAGCCAAAACGGTCAGTCAAAGAGTTGATTGTATAAATTTAGTTGTACTTAACCAGAATTATCACAGTGAGACAATTCCTCATAATACAAGAAGCACTAAAATACATCACACAACTTACGTTTTGAACTCTATTTCCGTTATCAAAACACTAGCTGTAAAATTGACTTAAAAGTCAAATGTGGCAGTTTCTTTGTTACTGAAAATAATAACAATAATAATAATTTTATTTTCCTGCAGGTTACACCCAATTACAGGAAAAGCTAAACAAATTATAAATATAAGGTACTATGTTGTAAGATATTTTCAAACTACCTATATGAAACTACTAAATTATTAAATAATAAATAATTACATACAATATACTACTTCTGTCCTTAATTGTTTGTTCAGGCACAAACAACCATGTTTTTGTTTCCGCATCGGGCGTTTATTGAAAAATTTGAATTGAAACATTGTTTATAGATCTGAATTAGGCTTTATATTATGTGTTTGTTGCAGACGCGGCATCACACCACCACACAGAGTCAAGTCCATCTCGATGGCGACGTTCACCAACGAGGAAATTGATCTCCTGAAGAGCCGGGGCAACGACTACTGCCGGCGGGTCTGGTTGGGTCTCTACGACGGCTCGCCGCCTCTACCCAGCGGCGACGAGCAGGCCATCAAAGACTTCATGGTGGAGAAATACGAGAGGCGCAGGTACTACCTGGACCCGGGGCTCAGCAAACCGGAAGTGACGCCCAACAACACGAGGCCGACGTCAGCGGCGCAGCTAGTTTCGGAACCCAAACCGTTCAAAGCCAACGGCGTGGTCCAGAATGCGCACAGGACGAGGCCGGAAGTGAACAGGAATCATATAAATAATAACAATAATATCAATGGATCTGCCGTTTTCGTGGCCGACTTCGATAAGGCCGATATCTTTAGTAGTACGGGCAGTAGTAACAATTCGCAGTCGTCGAAGGTGCAGAATGGCACGTCGACGTCGTCCTTTGCAAACTTCGACAACAACCCAGTCTTCAGTAATACCAGTACAAATACAACCACCACGATAGGTAAGCAATTTTTTTACAGTTTATATTGCTTTGCAGATTTCGAGCAGATTGTTGCCTTCGGCATAACTTAGACAATAATTATTAAGTATTAGCTTTGTCTGTACAGAACTATATAATACCAACTATACAGGGTGTTCTACAAGCTCTATATGACAAATGATAGCTACCATCTGTCAAAGTTTGTCATAGAGCTTGTAGAACACTCGGTATATTAAAACTGATTATTCTAAAACATATTTGACGCTTTTCGAAATATTTGAATGATAAATTTAAAATTCAAATTCAATTGGACTGAAAAGAAGTAGATTTGCGACATACAGGGTGCGTCAAAGTACGATATCTCCGTTATTATAGAAGATTCCAAAAAAAGTTACCTATTTACAAAAATTGT